TCCTTCTATAGACATGTATTTTCCATACAACTACATATACGAATGTACAGCTTAAGTAAATGATTTCATCGAAAAGAAAATTTTCTCCATTGAATTCTCCTTTTCTTATTCGATATCATAAAAACTTACAATATATGAACGGAAGGACTCGAACCCGAAAAGTTAATTGCATTTCTTGTTATTTATTTGAATAATTAAGTCGAGTTACTGAATATAACGAACATATTTGTCACCAGTGCGAGAGCTATTAGAATTCTAGGGACATTGGGAAGCTATATCGTACTTCTTTGGGTCAATACAATAGCATTTATTCATAATATAGTATAGGAATATAGTAGTTAAATATACTATTTCTATAACATTTCTCAGTTAAACTGGAAACATTATGGGACATAAAGAAAGTGGGAAATTAACGCAAATAAATTTTCCCTTCTGATTGACAAATGTGAATAGAATAAATAAAATTCAGTGAAAGCATTTAATAAAAAAGTGATTCTAATGCTTCAAAAATAACATTAATTCAACAACACTATACTAGGACTTAATCGTAGTATTAGATTTTGTACAATATATATATATATATATATATATATATATGAACACGTATTGAATAATTGTCAGCTTGTAACTAGTCTAAATACTTGGATTAATGAAATATATTATTGTCTTCGGAAATATACAAAATATGACCAATTGGAAGTCAGTCAAAAAGAAAGGGTCATGAAGAGTACAAATCCATTAATGAAATTTCTTATAATGTATTAATCGAATTTATTGGGGTAGGGGAAGCAGTATTAAAATTGTGATGGTGAGATTCCATTTGAAAATTTTTTTTCGGTAAATTGCCTCCCAACTTCTTCTCTCGTTAGAAGATCAGGTGGATTCAAAAGTAAATCTTAGGCGGAAAATACTTTAGGAGAATTCGCATTATTTTTATCTTAATTATTTAACCCGTACATCAAAGGAAACGCTTTATGAAATTAGGTTCACTTAGCAGTTATTTTTGATAACTTATTTGAAATTTCTAGCATAAGAATACGGAAAGATATCAACATTCAGCCAGGTAGCGAACTCTTATACTCAGCGTCTAATCTTACGCTAACATTTCAGATAATGTATATTCATATAATGAGTATTCGCTCTAAATAAATTTGATTCTTATTGATAAAACACTACATATCTATAGAGGTGATTTTATAGTTTGAACAATACTTGACAATTACCTGATCCGCATATGTATGCTAATATTAGAAGACATTTTAAACACTATTCTTAGTTTCAATAAAATATTAACTGTATAAAAAACTCAGTGAAATAGGTACCACATTTTTCAAGTATGAAATAAATCAGGTCGATATTCGTGTGATTGAATTTTGCTTATAATTAATCCAGTAATAATTATTCTCCCCAAACCTATGTACTGACAAACATCATAATAATGAAAAAAACGTATAGCAGCATTACCGTAACTATCTATGACCTATGAAAGCTTAATATTCTGTTTTGCCACTTCAGTCCTCAAGTGTACAGTGGATCACATAAAGAATCATACGGAAGTATGATATGAAATGTATTTTTTGATAATTTAAAAATCAGTTACTGAAATCAAATTAAATCAATTTATACCATACACATGTTCGATGACAGTTAACGATAGAATGAGTTTAAAATTTTCAAAGTTGAATTCATGAATCAATCTAAGTTAGACCACCATTGGAAATCTGGAATCACCATATAGCCGTTTCGTTCCAGTATGGGACTTCTCAGAAGTGCCGGTCCACAATCTCGCACGTAGGATTCGAGCCCAGAACCTTTGATCTTGCTCACCATTGAGCCAACATCCGACGGTGTTAATGTCTAACTTTGATCGATTAATGATCTTGTACAACCCTTTATATTAGAACGGAACTGTCGTCCAGAGCTTCCAGGTTTCCAATGGTGGTCTAACCTAGATTGACTCGTAAATTCAACTACAAAGGCGCTACAATCTCCACACATCCCCAAAATCGAGAACTTAAGATTAATTTTGTATAGAACTTATCGTGATGACTAACAAAATACTTAGATAAGTATGGTATGATGCTTAAAACTTGTTTATCAGTATAACATAATTTCACTTTGTATAAACTTAGAAATTGATATTTCACCTGTTTTAAATATCTTATATCAGGAACTCTATAAACAATGCCATAAATTATTACCAAATACAAGAATAAAACGGTTCCTGTATCAACTTATTTTGTATTGTTTACTATATTTCTTTAAGAGAATATTCGCTCTTGATGAATCCTCATAATTGTGAGATCTTTTGAACCAAAACTAGCTAAATTTCTGTAAAAAAACCTTGTGATCAATAAATTTTGATTCACAGGTTGAACAGTATCATGATGGCACCTAAGACATAAGTTTCTGGATAAATTTTGTTTGGAATATGCAGTGTTAACTCACGAAGGGTTTTGAATTGGGTCAAATAGCTGTTCAGTGTTTCTTGATTTTCTGTATTATTCCAGACGATATCAATCCATAATAAAAATACTTTTTAAATCTCTAAACTGCAATAAAGATGTATAATAAGGATGTTTTTAAACAGAGATGAATGGAGTCTAGCAGTTGAATACAACAAACTCATTTTGCCTTATTTAGGACTAGTCAGTTCGATGTACCTGTATCGCATATTTGATGTCCACTCTGAGATTCGAACCTAGTACCGTTTGCTTTAAATGCCACTGAGCTATCGACTAAACGGCTGAGTTCAGATTGCTACTAGTTTGTGCAATGTCGTGAAGTTTATTGGTCGTTTCTAACTTCCCACTAATGTTAAAGACTGCAGTTGATCAATCAATATCGTTATTTTTATTATCCTTTGTAATGATATTATGAATAAGAATATTATTGTATTAGTAGTTGTCATGTTCAAATATAAAGTGCATCAAGAACATATTCTACTCCTATCATTCCTTGAAATAGTTATGTGCATTAACACCCATACACACAAATAAGCATTAACAAATAGATTTGATAAGATAAATGGAAAAATCAAAGAAATCCTTAATCCTATTTCTATCCATCTCCATATCATTCAACTATAATTATATTGACAGAAATAGTAATGAGTAAATAAAAGTCATTTGGTTATCATTTCATTTTAATACATTATTCTGAATTAAAAACTTATGCACTATCGAGGCGTTGGCGATCCATCAATTCATACCTGCACTCTATATACAAAGATGATACGTCCAAACTTTCATCCTTCCTTGGCCCTAATTCTCTTCTTCAATAAACTATAAAGTGGAATACCCTAACCATTCAATGTAAACAAAGTTCATTCAACCTAAGTTGTACTTTATTAATTACAGTTTGTTTGTTTTGCATAGTTTTTCTTCTTCAAAAATGTTCACATTCTTTCTGTTACTTTTACAATTTTGTTTCAGTCTTTTTCTAAACAGTATTTTTTCAATCGTGTAATATTCTACCCATCTATATATTCTCACTTGTTCACGAATACAAGTGGTTGTGTAAATGTGGTCTATTTTGTGAGGGAAAAAATAAAGTTTGTCATTTTATTATATGAAAGTTATTAGTGTATGTGAATAATAGGAGACGAAGGTCTGAATCCACTTAATATTTTAGCGAATACAAGCTATTTATATGATGATTTATATAATTATTGTTTACCTGAAACTTCACATTAACGTTTAGGATTGCAATTGATCAGTCTCTTATTAACGTATGTGCGTATTGCCTCGATATTGCCTTAATTCACAAGCATTCTAAGCAAAGACAATGGGAAGATTCAAGTAAAAAATATGAAGTAAATTTTAACTTCATCGGATTGCACAAGCAAGTGACTATCAGGTCTTAGTAGCTAAATGGATAACGCGATGTGCTTGAAGTGAACAGTACTGAGTTCGAGTCCCAGAGTGAACATCAACACAGATACAAATATATCCAGCTGACGACTTCTAAATAGGACGAAATGTGCGCCCTGGATTTCACTGTGAACCACTAGCTATTTTTGCTTATTTATATACTTTCTTACTATTGTTACTCTCAATGGAGCATAGGCCGCCGACTAGCATTCTCCAACCCACTCTGTCCTGGGCCTTCCTTTCCAGTTCTATCCAATTATTGCTCATTCTTCTCATGTCTGTCTCCGTTTCTCGTTCTAATGTGCTCTTTGGTCTACCTCTTCTTCTTTGGCCTTGAGGATTCCACGTGAGGGTTTGCCGTGTGACACAGTTGGGTGCTTTCCTCAATGTTTGCCCTATCCACTTCCAGCGCTTCTTCCTGCTTTCTTCCTCCAATAGAATCTGGTTTGTTCTATCCCACAGTAGATTGTTGCTGATGGTTTCTGGTCAACGGATTCAAAGTATTTTGAGTAGACAACTTTTAATAAACAAATGTATCTTCTGGATGATGACTTTCGTAGTCCTTCAAGTTTCCGCCTCATACAGTAGAATTGTCTTGACATTTGTATTAAAAATTCCGACCTTGGTATTGATTGACAATTGTTTTGAGTTCCAAATCTTCTTCACTCACAAATATGCTGATCTTGCTTTGATAATCTGCGCCTTCAAAAAATACTAACTAGAAAAATTATTCTTATTTATATAATATCTTATCCCAATCAGTGATTTATTTTATCATCAAATGAAATTTTAAATAGAGTATCCATTGTTGATTAGGGAAGAAAAACTAATTTGTATTAAATTGTCACATATTAACCAATAAGAAAATTTTTTTATTTATTTAACCAATTAATCCGTGTATCATTAATTTTACGGGAAAAGAAATCAACCAATTAAATTTCTACGGTAAATAAAAATATATTTCATTAAAACAATAAAAATTTTATCATTGGCGTCAAATATGACAATGAGTGAAATCTTTTAGTTAATACCACACACACACAAAAAAAAGAAACAACGTCTGTACAATTGATAAATGCCAAATCATTGACTATATAGTTCATAATTGTTACCGGATATAAAGCACAAATGAATGGATTTACTATTGATGCTATTTTAGGCAATCAGATTGTACAACAAAATAATCTAACTTTAAACAATACACAAATGATTGATAATAATCACACTGAACAAATTAAAACTTTGTATCAAAATTCAACAATCAATACTAATAGTATATCAAGTAAATTAACATTTGTGTTTGCATTGCTTTATATATTATTGTTATCAGTTTCAATATTCTTATAGGTTTGTAAAAAAAATAAATAATGATTAATTTAATAGTTGAGTTCATGATTCAATTAAAGCTAGAAAACCTGGAAACATTGGACGACTGTTTCGTCTTATTGTGGGATTCTTCAATAGTGCGCATCCACGATCCGGGTGCGAATCCAGGACTTATCAGTCTCGCGTGCGAGCGCTTAACCTCTAGGACACCGAGCCGGCATCTAACAGTGTTAATGTTAAAGTTCAATCAATCCATGGATTGGCTCATAAACTGAATTATTAAATTACTATAATATCCACAAAATCCCTTTTGATATTGATTAAATGTCGGTTTATTTATGATATGATTATTGCTTATGTGGAAAACAACTGTAACTGGAGATTTGAATTGAAGTAATAACTAATGTTCTATTGTCTTAACGGTATATTAACTAAAAATGTAAAAAACTTTTTAGAAAACAGGTGATCTTTCGATTAGAATCATATTTTAACATATTCATTTCTTGTTGTTAAGTGGTTGGAAATAATCATCAGGAAGCCACAGATCTAGATTTCACACCAGTTGATACTTGTTTACAAGATATATCTTTAATATTGAGGAAATTCGTGTTTTATATAGGGATTCGAACTTGGATCACTCATTGTCACAGTCAGAAGCATTATCACTGAGTTATTTTGACTGATATAATTGAATCAACATTAAAGATCAAACAAATAGCAACCTAGTTACTACTTAATTATCAGTCAGTATGTTATATTTTCTTTGTTATTTCTAGGTTGGTAATCTCTTGTTGTCGGTTAAAGAAGTACTTTTTCATCCCAAATTCTTAGTGAACTAAAAACACTGACCTCTTACATTATTGATTATTATACTTAGTCGTTATCCATGAATGTTCTAGCACATTTCCTCCTTCATTTCATTTTTTGATCTGTATGAACAAATATAAAATTTAGCAATAAATGATATAGACGGTTTAAATGAAAAGAAGAAATGAAGACATTTAAACTTAACAGTAAATGACTACTGAATCTGTTTTTAACCTAATAAATTATTTTTTTAAATTCCATGTTATTATTCATTGCTAATTTACACAAATAATAGTGATTTCACAAATGTATATAAACTATTGTTCTGCTATATCAAAGTGTATTTTTTTTACGTTTTACTCTGAATAGATCTTGATACATTGACTTACTAATGTGGCATTATTTAATTTAAACTGAATTACCGTTTTCTGTCATATTCTGTACAGCTCTATTGTTTGAGGACAGTTTCGACATTGACAAATACGCAGAAATAATGATTTTTTCTGTAAAAATTAACTTTGGATTAAAATATGAAATATAAATCTGAAATGCTGCCACCGAATATACTACTGTTTGTTGTTAAGAAAACTTAAATTTCCTTTTCATCATCAAGTCATCATAGGTCAAATTGAATAATAGTAGTATTTCAAAAGATTAGTTACTTGGTTAGAGTTTCTTGTTATATAGTTAATGGAAATAAATTAAACAGTATAAACCACTGAATAATTATGAATTGAAATCGTGGGTCAATTGAAGCTAGACCACCATGGAAAACCTAGAAGCACTGAACGGTCGTTTCCATGGTGGTCTAGCTTTGATTGACTCATGATTTCAATCAAAAACTTAACAATCTCCACAACACCTAAACTGATGATTAATTATTACTCAGACCATCTAATGCAAAATTACTTGGTATCTTGGTTTAGAATAGAGATTTGTTTGATATTTGTAAGAAAATTTTAGTAAAATGAAAAAAAAATGTGCCAATTTTGTATTATTAATTTAAATCTTTTACAATTTTAGGTAATAGAATAACAACATTTGAATCAATTCAAACAATTTTACCTAAATATACATTCAATGAACGTTTAAATTATAGTGAATTATCAGAACAAGATCATAATAACAATTCTAATAATTCTATTATACAAAATAATAATCATATTGTATACAGTTCAAAAATTTATAAAAATCGTAGTCCACGTATACCATTTTCACCAGATCAAATATTTGGATTAGAACGAAAATTCCAGAATTCAAAATATTTAAGTGGATGGGAAGTGAAACAATTGGCGAAAAATTTAAGTCTTACAGAAACACGCGTAAGTAACTTTATTAATTTATTTGATGATATGATTATGAAGCTTTTCAGTTTCCTTAGTAGCCTAATGGGTGTAATATTGTTAAGAAGGCTTCTAGAATTCAATATTTTCTCATTAACTTAAAAATGTCCATTGGTCGCTTAAGCAAATCGATGGTCTGTTATGTACAAAAACTCACCATGAAAGTATCGTCATATACAGCTTCAAATGTAATGGATTTCTAGGGATGACGTAATGATTATTTTAAAAGTTCTTTCCGTAATATTTACAACCAAGTCAATATGTAGATTGATTAGTCTAATATTGGAAATATGCATTCACCTAGTAAATTATTGATTAATTCATGCTAAATACTCCTCATTCAAATTGTACAAATCTGTTCGTCTATGTGACTACATAAAGTCATATAGAAAATAGTGTATCCACATATCATTTTGATGGTCAAATAAACCTTTATCACCAATCTTTGATTTTCATTACATATCGTCAGATTTGAGGTTTCATATACTAGCTAGTCAAGCAATTCCACAGATATAACAGGTTTTTAGTATGGTAGGTGCCTCTTAGAAACTTTTTTTTATTTATCGGAGGCAATAGCATCCTTTCAACCTAGTACAAATTTACTCTGGTTGAGTAACAGTCTCATTATATTTGTCGGCGGACAAATATATGCATTAAAGTTGTCTGTATGTGAAATCAAAAGAATATACATAAGATCGTTACTGTCAAGCACAAGTTGAAATCAAACTGAACTTAGTTTGTTTCTTCTTCGTAGTCGTTATTCTTTAAAATCATTTTAATTTAATCGTAAATGATATAATGAAGCCAAGATAATTCCATCGTTAAATAAATAAATAAGCAATAGTGTTATTCATACATATTTCTAATTAATTTAATCCAATTCTACAGTTCTATTTAAATGACATTAGTTTATAATGTTAAACGTATGAATACATATCAAGTTGGCTAGTCAGTTAGCTAGTGAGCAAGTTAGTTAGATTAACCATCTGTTTAGGTAAATATAAAATTATGGAATGATGTATTAAGATGAAATGATAACCAAATGACTTTTATTTACTCATTACTATTTCTATCAATATAATTATAATTGAAAGATATGAAGATGGATAGAAATAGGATTAAGGATTTCTTTGATTTTTCTATTTATCTTATCAAATCTAATTGTTAATGCTTATTTGTGTGTATGAGTGTTAATGCACATAACTATTTCAAGGAATGATAGGAGTAGAATATGTTCTTGATGCACTTTATATTTGAACTTGACAACTACTAATACAATAATATTCTTATTCTTAACATCATTACAAAGGATAATAAAAATAATGACATTTTGTTGTTACGTAATTATTCACGTTTCAAACTAGACATTAAATTTCAAGGAAAAAAAATTATGAACTTATATTAGTAATTGATTGAATAACTAAGTTGAATTATACATTAGTCAATTTAGTTATTTAATCACATTTGAAAGCGGTTTCTAGTAGACTAATATAATAATAAACATGTTCAATGTTGAGAATGATCCTAATAAGCGTAATTTTTCGGTAAAATAGGTGACTTGATAAATTAAATCTAATATATTCGAAATGTACACACATGAAACTAAATAACCTTATTAATAGTAACAATATCAACTTCAAACTGTGTACAGATGAATGTAATAAAGATATATTTTAGTATGTTAAGTTAGAGCTTGTCATGTTGACAATAATTTTATTGGTGGATTTCAATGAAAACGAATGAATAATTCAAAAATATGAACAGTATATATTAGATTATTACGTTAGAATGAGAATTTACTTATTTTACTTACGCTTGTTACATTCTATGTACCGAAATAAATGGTTACTTTGGTTGTCAGAAGGGGCATCAGCCTCGTGGCTTCCGAAGAAACTCGGCTTTCACCACGAGGCATCATAACTCTTCTAAATGAAGACATTCTGACTCCCAGGACAAAGTTTAGGTAGTTTGAATAATTTTTTCTCGTTAGCATTTTTTTAGTGAGTTAGATTTCTACGGGATGAGGTCGCTAACCCCATGCCCAACCCTCCTCATTTATCAGGGCTTGGGGCCGGCAGTAGCCACAGAGGTGCTCCAGGCGGAGTTGAACGATAATTTAACTAACTATTTTTCCTGACTTCAGCTATTGACTAATCTATCATGATTATTCACTATGCACATATTATATCTTTCTAATAGCCTATATGACTCCACAGGTAAAAACTTCCTATGAGAATCTCCATAAACTCATCAATTATTTATTGATAAATCTAGGTCGTGTTCAGTTAAGTGATTTGTAAATGTCTGATCTTTTCAATTTATTTACAGCTTTAAAGAAATCTAATTAACCACTATTTTCATGTTGGAAATATTTTAAAAAAAAATATAGTTCTCTAGATGTTAATCAGTTTATATTATTTCCATATTCGAATACAAATAATATAAATTTGAAAATAAACAAAAAGTATTCGAATGAAAATATAAAATTCTTTAAGGGATTGGATAAATTACATCAACGACCGAGATGGTTTGTAAGATGACCTTTTGACAGTTTACGGAATATTATAATTTAGGAAAACATAGACTATAAAAAGTTTCATATAGAAACAAATACAGCATCTATATGACATCTATTGCAAAACAATTAAATAATGCACTCAGTAAAAAAATATTATCTCCTTATAAAATGTATTGAAACAAATAAAAAGTTATATCGTTCATTTTCACGTAGAGAATATGGTAGATTATGATATAATGTGACTGAATAAAAGAACTATTACTACTACTACTACTACTACTACTACTACTACTACTACTACTACTACTACTACTACTACTACTACTACTACTACTACTACTACTACTACTACTACTACTACTACTACTACTACTACTACTACTACTACTATCACTACTACTACTACTATCACTACTACTACTACTACTACTACTACTACTACTACTACTACCACTACTACTACTACTACTACTACTACTACTACTACTACTACTACTACTACTACTACTACTACTACTACTCTTTCCTTGTAATTGATATTGGAATGTTCATCACTATTTGTAAACTACATTATTCTAAAACGTGTGGCATTATATAAGTTAATAATGTTATTTCATGCAACCACATTCCTTGACAACTTCTAACAGAACATGAACAACAAGGTTTTTCAGATAAAATGAATTCTTTCCATTCCACGGCTTTTTACCACTTGCATATAACCTAAAATTACAATTGTTGATATAAATGTATTATTAATAATTGACATCATGAATAAATTGAAGCTGGACCACTATGGAAAACCTGGAAATACTGGACAGCCGTTTCAACATGGGGAATACCACAATAGGACGAAAGGGCCGTCTGGTGCTTCCAGGTTTTCCATGGTGTTCTAGCTTCAAATGACTCATGATCTCAACTATTAAAATTACTATAATATTCACGAAACCCCTCCTGATATAAATGTAATTATTAACAAATGTTTAGCATAATAGTTGTTCAAAACATACCCAAAATCATCTGTTAATAATTATATTAGTGATTGTCATTTTAGGTTGTATTCAGCTGATGAGAAACGGTGAAATAGAATTAATTCATTTTATACGACAAACCTTGTTGTTCTTGCTATTTAAATGTTATTTCCTTGAAAACGTTTGGACCAGACTGCCAGGTGAAACGTTGGATTTACTTCAAATTATTTCGCTGTGATTTTACAAATACATTGTTTTTTAATATTTATGGTGTTAAATGTTGAACAATCACACATCTCCAAAATGGTTTATTGCAAATTAAATTTTCAATCATGAATCAGTTGAAGCTAGACCACCGTGGAAAACCTGGAAGCACTGGACGGCCGTTTCGTTCCAGTATAGGACTCCTCAGCAGTGCGCATCCACGATCTCGCCCCCCTGCGCGATCCGAACCCAGGACCTACCAGTCTTGCGCGCGAGCGCTTGATCATTAGACCACTGAGCTGGTATCCAACGCTGAGGAGTTCGATACTAGAACGAAACGGCCGTCCAGTGCTTCCAGGCTCTCCATAGTGGTCTAACTTCAATTGACTCATGATTTCAACTACTGAAATTTCCAAAATCTCCACAAAACTCCTTCTGAAAATAAAATTTCGCCTAGTAATTTACTTTAGTTAAAGTTTTATTGAGATTCAGAATTGTTCAGTTTGTTAATGGTGAGATTCTATGAGAAATGTTAACTCATGAGGAACGAAATATCTTAATTTATTTTTCCATTCTATATTCAGTACACCGTTTACTGATCTAATTAAAACTTAAAACTGATTATAGCCAGTATATTAAAGTAAGATTCATTAAAATACATTTGTGTATACTTGTAAGTAAATTTTACACATCTTAATCAAGTAATTTTTTTTTGCAATTACTCTCCAATAAAACAAATAGCAACTCATAATTTACCTAAATGGTAATTGATTTATTTTATCTTCAGAATGTAAGATAACTTTAATTAATCTGTGAAACAAACTATATGTTAATTACCAAAGTTATTACTAAACTTTCGAACCAATAAAACATAACGTTTCGAAATAAAATACGAGAAGAAAATTTAATGGTAGTTTTAATGACGAAATTCTTTCAAAGGTAAGAGGAACAGGAAGAAAGAGGAATACTGAACTCGCATGAAATCACAAAGTAACATATAAATTTTTTTATCTTGTGATTACATGATACATGATTCAAAATTCCATGATTCATAATTATGGTTTGAGTCAATCTTTGACGTTGGACAATGATAACGTAGTGTTGTTGGGGTTATCTGTATCATCCATAATCTGACTGAACCCAACTGATCACAAACGCTTTACCTAATTAGCATAAATAATCATTTGATTTCAAACGTCATGCCTACTGAATGATGTCTAATTAACACAGGCTTTCCTTGAGGAAAGACTTCCATTGAAATCCCTTTATATTACCTATATGTTGGTGAATTTTTCACATTAAGGAGATTTTCTAGGGTTTACTAATTTTTAGGCTTGTTCTTATTATTGTAGGTCGGAATAAGGTAGGAAAAATTGGAAATATGTCAGTTAAGACTGATCAAATTTTAGTGAAAGTATGAACAACAGGATAATTCAAACTATTTTAAACCGAATTAATAGTCATACATATTTCATGAGTGGCTGTTTGGACTCAGTAGCTAAGTCGATAACGCAGTGGCATTTAAAGCAAATAATACTGGGGTTGGAGTCTAGGAGTGGACATCAACTCTGAGTTCCAGGTACATTTAGCTGACGAGTCCCAGCTAGGACAAAACGCGGTTACGGGTTTCAACTACTAGCCAAAATTTAATCACCTCTATATTGAATATATTATCGTTTATGAGTTAATTAAATAAAAATATTGGTGTGATTTTGTTTTGTCATAATTTGCTAAGCCAATTTGTTTTCCGTTGTTGTTGTTTCTTTTGTAAAGGTTAAAATATGGTTTCAAAATCGTCGAGCCAGAGAACGTCGCGATTCTATTGAATTTAATTCAAACAATTCTATAAAATCTTTAAAAACAGATAATGATTATTTTACACAATCTTATCATGAACATGATGAGTATATAATACAAAACAGTTATAATTTAAGTTCCATAGCAATTGATAACCAAATTGATTATCAATATAAACACAATAATACACTTTCAAATTCCTGTATATCATCTTTACCATTTACTGCATTCCATTCAAACTTACAAAAATCGGATTTCATTTTCAATTTTATTCCGGATGTTAAACAGCCATTAAATCAGACCAATAACGAGTTATTAATCCCAGGATCAATCAAGAATGATTTCGTGAATATAGATAAACAAGATGAACTATTAACTGGCATATCTAACATAACTGTTAATAAAGCCATGCAACATAACAATAATAGTAACGATAATAATAATGATAATAATTATTTCATCATACCTGTAACTCATAATACGGATGCATATTCAACTATGTAAGAATATTTTTAGTTTTTATTAGATACCGAATGATGTAAAAGTAAATTTTCACTATTTTTAATGTATATTTTTTGTATTATTTATATTGCCTAAACACAGATTTATTCAGAAGTATATTGATTTTGTATCATATTTAGTTCTTTATAATTGGACAGATGATGGCTGAACTAAATATTAAGCGAATTTTAATACGTCTAATTTTTCATTACTTCTTCAAGGCGAGAATGTAATTTTTTTTAAGCAAAATTAATATATGATAGCTGATTCATAGGAATTTTAGTCTCATGTCTTTCAGGGTTTATCTGAAAGTCATACTTCGTTGATCAATCACTATAACAGACCATTATATGGATCCAGAACCGTGAGTGTTAGTTCAATTGATAAAATGATTTTTAAACAACTTGAAAAAGTACTTCCATAATGTGTACATTGTTTGCACCATACTTATGTTACTCAGCGAATCAAAAAAGTTATAACAACTTATTTTCCATAAATATTAAAATGTTTACTTAATGTGGACGTGATCAATAGTGTTAAGAATTATTTACATGGTATGATGAACGGAAATAGTAAAATTAGATGAAATATCTAAACCAGTATCTCCCTCAACTATTCAATACGTACTCTAGTGGTTACGGATGATTCAGCATTCAAGTCAGACAGAATATGATGAATACACATGAAGGTATTATTTTATAATTCCAAAAGCAGTTGCGTAGCGGACCTATAGAACTGTAAAACTTTCTTCTGTCAATTAACACTCCAAAACCTATAAAAAGAATAAACACACAAAAATAAATACATAAACCCAAATATATGATGAAAAATTATGTATATAAGACATGAGTGCGTGGTATGTTCATATACGGTGTTATAATGTGTGTACGGTTTATTATTACAAAACAGTTGATACCCAGCAATTAGAAGAGGAACAGCACAACTAAACAACATAATTAAATAACAATAATAAAAATGATAATAAATTGTTTAATTACAGACACACCAGAAAAAATCAAATATATCCGAGAATTAAAATTTATTTATTTGAGTATGTGATGTTTAGTTACGACAACGGGAATAAACATAGATTTATTATGAATACACAAAAAACGAATTAACTAGACGTAAATAGGTTTGGTTAGAGAATTTGTATAAAATTTAGACAGTAATGTGTACATAACGTTTAGGTTTATTGATGATTTCGCTGTAGCGAGTTGTAGAGAAGTTCGTGTTTACTCATTTGACGTTGTTTTTTTGGTTTTGGTGGTTCCGTGAGGTCAGGTTCTACATTTAGTTTCAGGATTTGCTGTTTTCATTGACTATCTAGGAAAGTAGGTTTTAGTCTGCCTATAAAGAAAGTGTTCTTCTTACTACTTTTCTCAGCGATGAAATATTTTTCTGTTCATTTTGTAACTTCAAGTGGCCCTTCGGATAGAGTGGTTGGTGGTATACCGACAGCGCTGATTTGAACAAAGACGAATTTGTGTTTTTTTAGATAGTTATTTGCTTGTTCGTGTTGTACGTTCACACGTGTTGGTATTAGCTTTAGTTGCTACGTGGTTCGTAGTAATGTGCTTGAAAAAGTTATTGTATTTCCTTGTATTTTTTGATTGTTATTAATTAGTTAGCCAAGAAGCTCTAAATTCGCTACACATACTAAATCGGCTAATGTGCATCCTATGTCTTCTCTCAACTTTGGAAGTATTCCCAGGAGAATAAAGGGTGGGGCATTGCTCTACTTGGTTGTATTGGCCAGAGACATATGTGAGCTTCTTAATTATCGATGAAATCATTCTACGAGGCCTTTAGCTGCTAGATGGTAGGCTGTTGTTTTTATGTAGCATGTACCTAACAGTTAAGTGAATTCTCGGAGCAAAACTGATTGAAACTGAGGACCCCGATCAGTACTGATAGTAAGTGGGACGCCATAATAGGCAATCCAACAATCAAGGATTACTGAAGCTAAAAATGTTGATGAGGTATCATTTATGGGACAGGCTACAGTTCATTTAGTGAAACCATCTTTGCAATAAATTTACGAACAACAGAATTGGATAATGGAAAGGAGTGACAGTGTTCAAGTGCACGTGTTGAAATTTTCTATATAGTGTTTGGAATTTACCTAGTGTGCAGAATGTGTGTGGTTGGGTCTTGTGTTGGGACTGGATGAACATCTCTGCCACATTCTAACATCTGCACTCATGTGATACCAAACGAAACGTTCTGATATATATCTGGTAGTTGATGTTGTGGTGACCTACTTTTATCACGAGAACACGATTGATTTAATGGAAACAATCATTATTATAACTAATTGTAACGGTGATTGTTTTACTGTGCTCGCTTGTTTAACTGTGCTAAAGACAGCCATATTCCTACTCCACTACTCTCCATTACTTTTCCGTAGATTGTGACCTCGTACGTTCGTACTCTTGCCCGCTGATTCCACTTGTACTCCTTTGACACGATCTCAGTATCCTTTCGATACCACGAGATCGCCAACGAATAACTCTGGTTACTTTCAATCTTCGCCTTCTGATTTATTTGGTACGCGTTTCCCTGTAGTGGTGCTCATAATTAACCTCGACTCGACACCACGCTACACTGTAATTCCAGGGTTTGATGGCAAATTAGGACGTTGAAATGCTTGATTTATGCGTGGGATATTAAAAAGAAACGGCTAGTATCTTTGACAGCATCCTAAATGATATTAGTAGTTGGGACCTGTTCAAGCAATAATGTAGATCTTACTTCGCAGACTTTTAAATCAGTATAATCTGCCTGTACTTTTATCAATATTTGACCTCTGGATTAAAAAACTGATTTCTGTTTAGGATAATGCATCAGCCACGAACTAGAAATCTCCAAAATAGCGCAATCTTAGTAGACAGAACTATTGTATTTGGAATTCAAAATCAGACGCGCAACGAATCGTAAGTTCATACTGAATATACCACAAGTATTTGAAGTTCGATAACACCTTAACCAGTAACACCTTCTTTAATTGAAACGTGCCCACCCAGTGAAATCAGAAGCAAAGAGGTTCAACGACATATTTGTTGTTATATATATCGAGAAGTAACTGGCTAGCGGTTGTAGGAGAAGTTGAACATAGCTTTCCCACTCGTGAAGTGGTGCGAATGTGTGACCGAACGCCTTCAGATAAGTGGGTCCATTGAAACTAATGTGGTCAGCATCAAACTTCGAAGACTTAGAGAGCTGTTGATTTTGGGGTTTTATTTACCGCTACAATACAAACAGCACACGTACTTCACATGGGAAAGGTCGATCATAGGACGTGCTGACTGATTTACGCAACCGTTTATGATGTGTCATTATTGTCAGTCACCTTCCTTGCAATGAGAGACTAGATAGGGTATTTGTCTAATGTGGTCTGAACATTCAAACAATGGTAATCCCGCATGAATATCAGTCACTATCGTTCTATGCTGCCGTGTTTAAGGGAGAAGCCCATGAACTATTGATTGTAAAATGATGCCAAACTCCGTCACGTCTTTGAACTATAACTTGACGATTTTTACTTTTTCAGGGTCAGTCTATGTGGCTTTGCATTGACTGGTTGGATTTTAGTAAAGATGTAGTGTTTTATATAGTGATATTATTATTATTATTATTATTATTATTATTATTATTATTCACAAACATCTTATGGGTACATAAGTGTTGTAAAGAAACCATTTCGGGTTTCTTCAGAAAATGTAATAATACACAATTTTCAATAATGTTAGTATTATACTTGCCATATTTTAAAAAAAATTAGAATAATAATAGTAGAATATTAATAATAATAAATCGGGTCTTTGTAATTGAGAAGAATATTGAATTGAGTTTAAAGAAGGAAATGGAGAAAATAAGGGAATAGAAATAAAGGAGACGTGAAATACGCAAACAGTGTAATAGGCGTGTTTATGAACACAGAACAAGAATAAACGACTATGTGTGTATCCTTAAATTAATAACAAAAAAATAATTCAGAAAAATAACTTATAATTGTAGTAAGATATGACGCTAGAATAAATGTTTGTGCAGTTATAGTTTAGAGTGATGCTATGAAAGTCACAATTAAGTGAAAAGGATAATAATATATCAATATGTATGAGTCATATATACATAGTGAAGATAAAACGAATCTGAGAATTTAATTTAAGTGTAACACAAGTTATTGTTTTAATTACAAACTTCGTAATCTTAGGGATATTTATTCAGAGGGAAAGAAGAGTAAAAAGAAGTGAACACCTAGTGAAAAGTTTCATCCATGATAAGAATAATAATAGTGTAATGAATATCAACCTCAGAAGGAAACCAGTAATTGAAAAAATAAAATAAAAATCCTTTAAAGCACTCGGATGAATACATTTAGATTTATGTAATAGTATACAGAGTGAAACCGGATATTAGTATAAATATTTGTGCAATAATAATTAAGAATGATGCTATGAAAGTCAGAACTGACTTCAAAGGACAATCTGGAGTTAAATATGTTTAGAAGGATAAGAAGATATAAAAAGAATATCTAATGTGCCGGGGAACTAATAATGATATTAATAACAGTAATAATGATAAACACGAACATAAGCAGATTTCATATATTAAGATTAATAGAAATAAAATAAAATAGACGAGAAAAGGCTTAAAGGTTTTATTTTGCTTTTCAAGCAATTAAATGGATGACGGACCTTGTTTGTATAAATCATTATTGAATACACTGATATTCAATAGGTGACATAATCCACTTTCGGGAAGAAAATCGTCAAGGAGACTTTTGAACCGGGTTGTAGTTTCACTGCAACGGAGGTTCACTGGCAGTCTGTTCCACATGGTTGAGTAGCGAATAAGGAAAAAATTCTGACGTTAGCTTGTGTGGGTTCTTGAAATCGCTAGAATATTCTCCTTATTGCGTAGATTGTGGGATGATATCATAAAGTATGAAGGGGTGGATACCGAAGAGTAGGAAATACTGTTAATAAGCCGGTAGAAAAAGACAAGATTTAATTTGATACGTCTGATCCAAAGAGGTTCTAAGTTGAGTTTTTGACATCTTTGGTAATAGTCTTTGTTATCGGAATACCCCAGAACAGCTTTGGTGAACTTTCTTTGAACACCTTCAATTCTAATCAGGTCATTATGTCTACAATTACTGTAAACTAAAATACCATATTCAAGAATGGGTAAGATACATTTTCTGTATGATAACGATCTCGATTCGATATTATTGAAGTTTATCATTATCAATCCGATGAGCTTTCTAGCTTTGGATACTTGAGATATAATGTGTTCAGAAAAGTTCAGACTGTTGCTACATCTTAAACCCAGGTCAAGAACAGTGTTGAGAGGTTTGAGTGTATGTGTCTGTACAGTCAGATTTAACTTAATACAGCGACCAATGTGAATAAATCCACTTTTGTCAACATTAAGTGGCATATTCCACGAAATAGTCCATTCGTACAACTTGTTTATTTCCTTTTGGATTACCGCTGAAATATAGCTTTCTTTCGTGGGAGAAGAGAATGAATAAACTACTTTCAGGTAATCAGCAAAAAGGAAGGGCTTACCATACTGAAAGAGGGAACACACATCATTGATAAAAAGGAGAAAGAGTAGTGGACCAACCACACTTCCTTGTATAACCACACTGGTTACATTTACAGGTTTAGAGTAGCAAGATCCAAAGCGAACGATTTGGCTACGTTCTTCTAAAAAAGATTTGAGCCAAGATAAAAGGGGATTCTGTACGCCAAATGAAGAGAGTTTTAAATGAAGAAGTTTGTGTGAGACACTGTCGAAAGCCTTACTAAAATCGAAGCAAAGAATTATCACTGACTGACCAACATATCTTCTCTTGGCAATTTGATCAAAAAACTCCAGGTGCGATGTGAAACATGAGCGTTTAGTCATGAACCCGTGTTGGGATGGGCTGATCAGACTAGCTGAAAGTAAAAATGATAGTGGCCGTTTGTGGATGATTTTTTCCATGGTTCTTGAGAGCACGGATGTCAAATTATCTGGCCTATAGTTAATAATATCACTACGTGGTCCTGTTTTGAATCTAGGGGTGATAAGGGATGTTTTCCATACAGATGGATAGGTCCCATATTCCATAGATAGATTGAAAAGTTTCAAACAAAATAGTGGAAATTCTCTACATCCATATTTCACAAATGATGTAGGTATCCCGTCAGGTCCACCATCATAAGACTTTTTCAGGGCAGTTATGGCCTGCTTGATGTTGGAACGTGTGAAATCAATTTTCGTCAGATGTCTGGATGTTAGCATTGGAAATGTAATGATGGAGCTTTCAGTTCCAGTTTTGTAGCACTGCGAGAAGTGCTTGCTGAAATGTTTGCATATAGTATTCGGGTCGTTAACAATGCTTCCGTTAACTATGAAGAATTTGGTCGTGCCAAGGGAATTTGACTTTACACGGGATTTAAAAAGTCGAAGTATTGATAATTCTGGGCTTTTACTACGTAGAGCTTTATTTTCTATATTCATGAAATACTTACGTTTAGATGAAGCATTTCTGTCGATAAATTTAAGTATACTCTGAAGTGTTACTTCATGTAGGACGTTTTGGTCTGGACAGTATTCGTGGGGTTATGTTAACCTCCGTAATGGTATCAACGAGAAATTCCATGCCTGGTGTTGTATCTCAGACGTGAAGACGACTATTTATGTGGCCAGGGATAGGTGTCACCATAGCTATCTGACTGGCCCGTTTCCAGAGAAGTGTCGGACAGTTAGTGGAAAGCCATACGATCTTGTGGGTTTCCGTGCATTTTTACCATACTCTTTACGGTACTAATTGATATCTACTGTTAGTTTTATCGGACTTGACCCAAATCTGCAGGATGGTTTATTTCTGAAAGAAGACTTCATACTCATGGAATGAATGCTAAATATTGTTATGACCCTTTCGCCTGTCACTTATTACATGATAACATAGCCAGTCAGAAGATCTTTTTATATGACCAATGATACGCCAACCAGCGCTAGCAGCCTCGCGTTATCTCTGAGTTCTTATTCGTCTTCTGTCATAGTACCTTATAGCTTAGCCTATCTCTTTTAGTCAGGAACATAAACATCAGCTTCTGCTGTGTGAATCGTATATTTCGGACATACTCAGTTTAAATGTAGGCATACCAGACTGCCACCATAAAACGAAAAGCAATAATTGTACAGGATCAAGTCACTGAGGCTGTAACTGATAAATTTAGAATAACGTAAGAATACTACATCGTTTAATAGTAGTCAACAGGTCAAAGCAAAGCTTACGACAAAAGGAATATGAATATATATGTAATAAAACTACCTAATAATTATCCAATAAGAACATATGTAATAATTGTCTATAACTAAACCCTAGAAGTTACCATTTATTTGTTATTCGTATAGAAATTGCAAATACAGTCGTTTGTAGATGTGTAAATTGACAAGTTGGATCTAGGATCTTTTGCCATATCTCCACGGTTCGTTACAAATGCTATTTGTACTTCACCTACTCTATGGGAATCGCAAAATACTTTTACATTGTACGGTAGCCTGGTTAACCACATCTGTCTAAAAAGCTAAGCAGCCTAGTTTTTAGATTACTACCAACCGTTTCAAGTACCGTGAAAAATAAGATTGCTTCCTGTCACCAACGTCACAATTCTCCAATAGAGGTAGGGGTCTCTCGTTTGAGGCTGAAGTGCGTCGTATGACTTCAGCCTTTAGTTTGTCACACGGTACATCCTCTGATTTTTGGTCGACGAGGCCATCAAATTCAGATAAAAATTCCATGTAGATTGCGCTCACTATGCGTGTATATTTAGTTACCTGTAAGCGTAATTCAGGAACTAAAACTGGACTTTCGACTTATATAAACCGAATCTTAGAGTTCTTTGCAGCGCACGCCGGACATAGATCTAAAGTATTAATGTGTAACTAACAGTCAATATGCTTTATAAAATGAAACAAAACGTGTACAGTGTGAGCGTCAATACATAGCTAGAAAATGACATCCAACAAAGTCAGGATGAGTTGTTTATGCGAACACATGTATTAAGCGAACGATAATCATTAAGACATCAGGATAATGAATGAACTGGATTAGAAGTCAACCTAAATAAAGTTCTCTGGTTAGCACCGTATTTTTACTAAATGAGTGGAATGATGTAAAATTACAATGATGACACGAACTGTTAACAAATTAACTTATTTGTAAATATCTCCACGGCAATACTTGAACTTTCTCAAATAGAGTAAGATATTTGTTTTAAATGAATAATATGTATCCAGTCAAACCATGAGAAATAAGTTCTGTAGTGAAAGGATGCCTTGCTTGCACGAGTAACTCTGGATATATGAAGTTGAACAACTGGTTGTTTTTTTGTTCTAAAGTCTCAACTTTAGGGTTTGGCTGTTTAGCGTGCGCAGATTAATCTGTTGAGTATGTTAGGTTACGCGTTTATTTTATTTGCCACTATTCCCATACTGTACCGGGTTCCAAAAGTACAGTACTATGTCAAATTTTCTGTTTTCTTCTTACTGATATTTATTGGGTCATTTATTTGTTCTATCCGATTGGCTTTCAAAGGCCGAAGATATGAAAATGCTTGGTAATAACTTTTCGCTCATAACGTTTCAAGGATGTTTGTAAGATATCTAGCATTTTCTGGAAGGATGGTTGGTTTAAATCCTGTTGTCGAGGACGACCATCTTCTGTCCGGGGAACCATGTATTTACGTCTTGAATCATCAAAGTTGCATAGATATCGCAGGTACTCATCCATACAGATTCTTACTTCTTGTGACAATCTAGGTGTGGGCGACATATGGCCAAAACGCTGCTCGGTAGTTTCCAAAGCTTCACTTAAATTCATGGGATTTTTGGGAATGGTTATGTGGCTGAGCAAGACTATTTGCATTGATCGATCCCATCATACTGATGCTATTTCTGCCATGGAGAAAGCTGCCATAGAAGCCAAACAGGATAAGGTAAATGCTCTTCATTTTGACTGTCTCACTAGGTTTCGGTTTTCATTTTTCCTGAGGGCACAAGATCCGATGCCGGTTATCTTTTGCCTTTTAAAAAGGGAGCATTTCACATGGCAATCGAGTGTCAAGTAATACCTGATATTACTCACTAAGTTTAAGTTTCCGATCCAACCTATTGTTGTTGAACCGTATGCAAAGTTCCTTGATCACAAAAAGAAACTTTTTAAAAGTGGTGAGTTTATTTTCAGGAATAAATTGACGAGTGAGGCTGTGATTTATGGTCGACCTTTGGGCAACTCTAAAGTGACCTTGTGAATGCCCAGCAGTTTACTAGGGCTAAATGAGAGTTATAAACCAGTGTCAACAACAACGATTGGTTTATAGCTAATGGCTATGGTTAAGAGTTCGATTTCGGGTTTTCATCATGAACTGACGTCAGCTAAAATGCGGAACGCTATTTAGCCAAATAGATGAATGAGTTCCGTACCAAAACCTGTTATCCTTAATCTAATTGGTTCGTCGATAAACTAGTCTCGCTAATTGACTGTCTGAGTAATTCAGTATTTGTTACCACCCGTGTGACCATATTTTCAATTCGCTGCATCTATTAAGATACTAGCAGTCATTTCGTATATGTATGCGTAGCACAACAAGTATGTAGTTTGTAGACATAACGAACACACCTAACAAAATAATTTAAATGTGGATTCACTTTATGATCGGTGATCTCAGTGAAGTTAGGGAAGAATCGTTTATACTTATGCTGGAAAACGTTATTTTTAGCCTAACATGTTCTTATATTACTAAATAGCATTGTTTTGGTAGTGTTTCTCACAACGTTTGGTATATGACCGTAGGGTTAATCATAGATTCCACCTTTTGCAAACCGCACGTTGTTTGCGGACACTAGCTGCTTAGAATGACGAACCAGTTAGTTTGTGACTCCGTATGCTGGAAAATAAGTGTATAAGACCGGGACCTACTATAATCTCGAGTGAGTTCTCGAGACCATGCAACCCCCCCACCGACTTGAAGCATTATCAAACATACCTTATAGTAACCATTGACAATTCTGCTGAAACTGTCGTACTCATAAAAGCAGAATGAACCTTGTTCATTGATATATGTTTTCACTGTATTTTCAGTTCACCTCCATTTCAACACTTTTTGTTCATTCACTTATTAATCCTACAATTTTCCTCCTATTTTTTCGGGATTTTGTTCAACCTTGAGTGGAGCATTTTTCAGTGCTTTATTACATCAAAAGTTTTCTGTTATACATGAATGTAGGTTGAAGATATCAACTTAATAATTGATTTACATTAGTCTTTATTACGCAACTAAACGTACTCTTACTAAAGCTCAGGTCGGCTGGGTAATATATATTTTCAACTATTGAGTTTTCTGCCTTGAGTACTAGGACAAACCCTTATCCATTTTATAAACTATCTGAACAATAATTTTACTTAATTACATGCATTATCTGTAGGTGCCAATCTTGAAATTCAGGTTATTCATTGTCCAGGTTGTACCGTTGGCACTAAGTAGTGAGAGTAATTATGAACTAACCAGTTCCACTCGACCTTTTTTTATGTACCTTGAAAGTATGTGTAGTAAGATGAGGTAAGTGCTCATAACTTGGGGAAGCTCAAAACGGACTATAGACCGCATATTAACATTACCTATACAGTACTTATGTCATCATCTGGTTTTTTGTTCAGAGCTTGCAGTAGTAGTAAACAAGTGGTTGTGCATTTGTAAATAGTTTTGCATCAAAATACATTCAATTATTTTCCTGTTCAATAAGCTAAAATGTTAGAATATATAAATTTTAGGACGATAATAACATCGTTCATGTTTGTTTTTATAACAGCCACTTACAAAGTGAAGGTTCTACCGAAAATTGACACTAAGGGGATGAATAAATCACAAGTCGATCAACTTCTCAATGAAACTCGTGAAAGAATGGTTGCTGCATTTGAAATGATGAAAGGAACAATTTCAAACTGAATGGACTTTTTATACTCATGAGTCATATACTTTTGTTAGTTCATTATGATGAGCAATAATTGTTTTTATTTTCGTACCCAAATTTACAAAATCCAACTTCCCAACTGGTATTCTATACTAAATTAGTACCTTCCGTCCGAAAAGACATTTTAGAATGATTTATGTACTCCCAAAACCACAAGAATTATACTCAAATATGAAGTGCTACATTTTAGTGTTTTCTCTATTTTGAACAACAATAAAAAAATTTGTGAGTACTCTTGCACACGAATAGAGTACTGATTCTTAATGACGAGTGTCTACAAAGTGTGAATATACGGGAATGGAATTATAGCAGTGACTAAGTAATAATGAAAAGAATTTTCCTGAAGGTATCTGGTTATGACGGGGTCGTTTGGCGACAAACCTAGTCATGGTCTTCTTATCATTTAGTCAGTGGTACAACACTTTTTTTTGTATATTTAATATATTGACCATACGTACGAACAATTTACAATAAATAAGCGATTTACCCTTGAGGATATGATTAAGTGTTCATTTGATTTTGAAATCATCAACTAAGTAGTTATCCCCCGTTTAAATCTCCATTGTCGTTGAGATATTTTTTACTTTTCATCTTGTTAATTTTTGCTCAGCTTGTTGTAATACGCCATATACTAAAACCGAATTGGGCGTTCGTCCCAGATTGTATTCTAATGATTAACTCTCATTTGTATGAAACCTGTAATATTTCGTCTTCATTTAATCATGGAAGAAAGATAATATACATCCATGTGATCATTCAGCCGGATTAGCTTGTCGTACAGACTTAGGTGATTGTTGTCCACTTGTCTTGACTACGTGTAGAGGGTTCCTTTGGAATTCAGTTTATAACAAGGATACATCTATTTAGATGAAGGATCCATTTTGTATGGTTTAATCTCTAGTTTTGATTTATGCTACATGCAAATAAAGTTATCTGAGGCATATTTAGTTTGTACTAGTCCTTTTATTTTTCATTTTGTATTCTATTATACCACATGGAAACTTAAGTGTAACCTACAAGGCATCAAAGCAATTTTAAATGTATCTCCACAATTTCTGGTGGTCAAAGTAGTTTAGTGCCCCTAAATGCCCTGGTACGACCGAGGGTAGAGATAATTAGCTCTTTCTCTCGAAATACTCTCACATGGCCACTCGTATACAGCCACTGCCAGGGAAGCCCTACTCACTGCCTTCTCGCGGCGGGGGTGTTTGCGAAATTGAAAGGACGGAAAGCGAACGTCCGGTGCTTTAACCGGGTTGGTGGATATGGAGAATTCACCTAAGGGGATTGGAAAACGCCGATTTCAAACCAATGGTGCACGTGGGCTCCAGGATCGTTTGTCACCGGCTTCCGTGGGACTGCATCTCCCGACGTTGTTCCAGTGCCTTGTGGATCAGACCTTTAGGTCGAAGGCTCTGGGTGTGGCTCCTTAAGAAAAGCACCTGCTTCGGTCTGGACACCCGGGCAGTATCACAGCCCACACACAAATCAAGTGACTTGTGTGATGCATATTTATTTGGTGCTTCCTTGTACCAATATCTATGTGTTAAAATAAATAAATGGAGGTGGTTTAATATGTTCATTTTGAGATCCTGAAATATCTACAACTGTGGTTTAAAATTAAGCTATTTTTAACTCTTATGTGTAACTTCTGGGTTCAATAAATTAGCCTGAATATAGAAGGGTCACCTAATGTATGTCGAAAGACCACTGTCTTAGTGAATAAAAATTCCTCAAAAGGGGATTATAAACACATTCATATGAAAGTACTTTAAAAATTAAAGTGAAGTCTTCTCGACCTTGGTCATACGTATATTATCTCAGACGCTGTCTATAAAGGTTTATGTACCGATTCTGGGACTGAATAGGAAAAGCTAACATGAGTCATTAAGTTTAAAAAAGCTGCGTGCGAATAGAAGCTGTAGGAATATCATAACATTTTAAATAGAGTTTCTCAAGTCACAGGTCAATAAAATGTACTTTTAAGATTACCTTAATATGTGTTGTATTTTTATTTGATTGGTAGCCATTGTTGGTACTCATTGTTTTTATCCTATGATTTCCTCTTCCATGTATTCATGCATTTTCTTGATCTCTTTCTGTATAAAGCTTTTTATCTAAATAAAACAAAATAGCACTGAACTTGTGCATGTATTTTTACTATTGTTTTCTCAAAAAATTTTGCGCATGAATGGCAAATACTATACGAGAAATGTATTCATTTCTCGATATTTTTGAAGCTTGTATTAATTTCAAGACTTATTTATCTATTTATTTGAACACAAACATGTGTACAACGGGGACTAAATGCATATGCGCCACACAATATCAATGAACAGAAATTAGTGTGACAGTGAAATAATAATGATAATGAGGCGAGCAGTTTAGTTAGCGAAAATACAATCAGAAGGGATTCTTTCAGTTATAGAAATTACTCTAGCTTTTATAAAGAAAGTCGCAGAAGGATCGCCCCTGACTTCTCTTTTGAATCATGCATGATGATTGCGTCCCAAACCACTATATTGCACTATATCTAGGGACCCAACTAAGTTGTGAGGGTCCGACAAATCCCAGTCCTGTACAGCCTTTTTTCATACTATCACACCATGTCATACACTGACCACCTCTACGTTTCCCAACCAGTCCTAGCATTGGTAAATAATGCACGATGTTGAATTCGCTGTGACAACCTTCATAGTACATGTCCAAGCCATTAAAGTTGGTGTTTGAAGATGGTGACACTAATTGACTTATCACTTTGCTCAAACATTCGTTGTCGAACCTCTGAATCGTTAACAGAGTGTTGCCACTATCTCTCAGCAGTACTTCAGAGACAATGATGATCAAACACAGAGTCATCTAACCTCCTCAACTCGAACGGGCATGGTTTCACAAGCACAAGGCCAGGCTAACTAGACGAAGGCAGGTTCAGGGTTCTACCCTTTTTGTAAAAGTACTTTGCACTTCGAAGGTGGAAAGTACATGCCATTCTTACGAACACTAATTGCCAACTGATTGAGTGCGGATTGGGTATCGTCGCAAAATAAGACGATATAATCCACATGCTCAAGGTCGAGAAATCTTTCTCCAGGTAACAGATACACACCACCATTACCTACGTTCATCATAGCTGTTTTCAGAACACCATCGGTGACAAAGTTGAAGAGAAATAGCGAGATTGGGCGACCATGTGTGACCCCACTGCTTAGATTAAGCAATGAAGATAGGTGGTTGTATGCTCTCACTCTGCCTGAGGTGTTTGTATATATGCCAATAAACTCATGCAAACCCTTCTCCGATAGACAATCCCGGAAAACAGTTCTAACCGTCGAATCGAAGTCGGCCTTCATGTCAAGGAACACTACGATTGTTGGCCTGTAATAAGTATGACTGTGTTATAACATTTGGCGGAGTCTGGGGATATGATCAATACATCCTCGACCGGAATGAAACCAGCTTACTTCTCGCGAGTCGATGTCAATTTAGACACAATTGGAAGTAGACTTATTACCTCGTAGCTGTTACATATATGATGTAAACGATGGGGTCGATTATCGACACATTTCATGATGTTGGAACACTCCAGAGTTCTCAAACTTTTGCAAACGACTCCGTCACCTCGATAACCAGAAGGTTGTCACTATCTGTAATATTAGGTTAGAGGTAAGTCATCGGAACCTGGCGGTTTGTGGCGCTTCAGAGGTCGGGGTTGCTTGCATACTTCCGCCTCGTTTTGTGGATTAGCCGTTATAGGCCATTGGAAGCAGGACAGTCTAGTCGATGTCGTCAGGGCAATAGACCAGTTGAACTGCTCTTTGAAAGGCTCTGCCCATCGTCCAAGACGTCGTATATCTTAATGGTTTGCATTCCGTCATCCAAACAGATTACTTCACTTGCACCAGACTTCTCACTGCAAGTGACCCAGATGAGTTGAAAGAGCTTCCGGCAGTCACGATGTGCAGATGCTGACTCCAACTCGTTGGCGCACTCCGACTATTAGACTTCTCGGTCCTTGCGCGAGCTTTGTACATTACACAACAATCTTCGTCTATGGTCAAACTCACTGTCACTCAGAGTAGATTGACGTTCCTCAACGAGTTTTGAGGAGCCTGCAGAAATGCAGTGCCTACAAGCGGGACGTTTCGTGAAACCGCAAGCGACCTGACTCACTATTTCCATGGTGTCATGGAATTGCAGCCAATGCTCATCTATACTTTTTGGTGGATTGATAGCTAGTATTGAACTTATCTCGGTTTGATATTTAGTTTCAACAGAAGCTGAAACCAATTTCCCGACATCACTACGTCTAGGATTGTTATAACTGTGAGACGGCAGCTGATTAGAGGGGAGCGAATTATCGATCGGACCAAAGACGCGCAGACACGTAGAACGACCTAGGGTTCTGATTGGTCCCGCTTCCCTATCTAGCCCAGTAGTTGAGTCCAGAACGAAAGTCACAGCCTCGGATATATGAATCATTATATTTCAAACATACTTTGTTTATATACCAGTCAAACAAACCACATCATACCATAAAATAGAAAATAACATTGTACAATATTGGCCAGTAGGGAAATGACACGTGGAATAAGTACTGACCAATAAGAAAATAATACCATGTCCAAGTCCAAGAATAGCATTAGGCTTAATAGGATAATTTCTGGGATATTTTCCTGAATATCCCAACAAGGATGGCCACGGAAACGTAAGGTAAGGTTAGCGCGAACAGGGTCATGGTCCGAATAAGCACTTCGAAAGGAGTGGCATTCCTGTGCACAAGTACGCCAGCGGTAGCTCATCATGGTATTGCCAGTGTAAGTTCCCATTGGCTACCTAGACAACTTTCTTCTACGCCTAGACGCCCGAACTTCTCATTCGAACCTTCGGCTAATAGCACAATATCTGTACTACTATATCTTTATTTTTAGCTTCTCGTATATAATTTAGTCCTATAAATAATCAAAAAAATATAATT